TCTGAATTATAGCTCTCATTCGGTTTCTCTTCAACTACAGCAGCCTGGGACTTGTTTTTCCTCACCGGACAATTATTCCTAAAGTGACCCGGTTCTTTACAGTAATAACATGTTTTAGTAGTAGTTTTACTAGATCCATCCTTGCCGTTTCCAGCACCCGACCCAGCATTGTTCCCCTTGTTAAACCCCTTATTCTTTTTAGACTTTCCGGACTTAACAAACAACCCACTACCATTATCCCCATTATCACTCGTAGCTTTCATTCTGAGTTCCCTAGTATGAAGTGCTGCCTTCACTTCTTCTAAGGTTATAGAATCCTTACCAACAACAAAAGACTCTACAAAATTCTCAAAGCTAGACGGTAGAGATACAAGTAAAATCAACGCAGCATCCTCATCATCAATTTTAACATCTAAATTACGTAAATCAAGCAAAATAGAGTTAAGTTTTTCTAGATGTTCCCGTAAGGAAGTACCTGACTGCATCCGGAGGCTAAACAACCGCTGTTTCAGTAATAATTTGTTGGTCAACGACTTAGTCATATACAATGACTCCAGCTTCAGCCACAATCCAGCCACCGTTTCCTGATCAGCCACCTCCGTGATGATTTGATCATCAAGACTAAGTAATATGGTAGAGTGTGCCTTCTCTTCCATAACTTCTAACTGCGGGTCAGTCGGTCCATCTTCTGACTCCGAAGTAGTACTCTTTGGAGCCAACGGACGCCATATCTGCTGTTGTTTTAACAGAGCCTTCATCTTAATTTGCCATAGCCCGAAACTATTTTTCCCGGTAAACTTCTCAATTCTTATTGTTGAATCTCCTGCCATTGTTATCTTCAAGAAACCCTCCAAGGATTGAACCTGAGCTCTGATACCAATTGTTGTGCGACAGCGGAAGCAAAGGTCGAAAACAAACAAGAAAACAATAAAGAAATTCAATGCAAACAATAAGAACAACACCAAGAATTTACGTGGTTCACTATCGATGTGATAGCTACGTCCACGGGCACCGAGATCGAATGATTTCACTATAAACTGCAAAGATTACAAAGATGATTCTTGTATTTCTCAAGAACGGCTCTCACACTCTCTCCCTTAACCCTTATACTAATATTAGGGAGGTTTTATATTAATCCCTAAAATAAAAGATACTTGGGCAAAAAGATAACATAAAAGATAACTTTAAATCGTAAAATCCGCGTCTCCGCATTTTTCCTTCTCCGCCCGGTCAGACCGGGCAAGGTCTGCCCGATCGGGCGCGAGAAGAAAACTCCATACGAATGCTTCAACGTATCCAACCCCCACCGCCCGGTCAGACCGGGCAATGTCCGCCCGATCGGGCGGACAAAGCTACGAAGTACGAGTCACCTAATACTTATCAACATACTAGTAGTAGTTGAATTGATTTATTTGAATATGAAATATAAATGGATCAATTACGTACATACAATAAGGTGTATGTTACATTGTCAATATTAATATAAACAAGCAATGAGCTGGAAAGATAAGTCTTATGCATGATAGGTACATAAACATTATACTAGTACTAGACTACTAGTTTAGTAGTGCGTAACTGTTTTTTTTCAAAGTCGAAGTAAATTATATAGACATGATATGCGATTCAATGACATGTAATTTAGCAACGAAGAAAAAAGGTTTGGTATACGTTTGCTTATCTTAAACCTGACTTTGTTGAATGTTCTTATCTAATCTTCGGCCTAACTTCATTGACTTTGTTTTTTTGGCTGCTTCACGACTTTTAAAGTCCGATCCAATGCATAATTGCATATGAATTCAAAAAAATTATTTAAATCGAGTTTTAATTAAACAATCAAAGAAATTTGGCTATTCACGGCATATAAAAATCTAATTTGGCTATTTATTAGGACCACCTTATCTATCTTCTCTTATGTGGCTCTGCAACTTAACCTAAGCTAGTCTTGCTACCCTCGCACAACCCTTCTATTTTGACAACTCTAATTCATGCACTGATCGAGGTTTTTATTTTTGGGAAATTGTTCAGTGTACCCTTGAGGTTTTAAAAAATGCACCGTGTACCCCTGAAGACTTTCAAATGCACCGTATACCCTTGATGTTTGTAAAAAAAAATGCACCAAATACCCTCATTATCTAACAAATGCACGTATTATTGACTTATCGAACTAAAATCATGCCCACACACTGACTCCCTTATAGTACTTTATATTTATGCAGCAAAATCGACTAAAAGCAAAAATTACATCCAAATTTAAACTCCATCGATATTATACATCCTAAACTTTTGGGTGTTATAATTTGATTTATTAACTAAGTTACTTGATAATTAAATGGTTTAGCATTACGTTAGCATTACACTATAATAATTTATTAGAATTTGATGCTTAGGGGATCTCAAACTTACAAATTTACCATTTGTTATGAGTCTAGGGGTATTTGGTGCATTTTTTTGCAAACCTTAGGGGTACATGGTATATTTGATAGTTTTCAAGGGTACACGGTGCATTTTTTAAAACCTCAAGGGTAAACAGAACAATTTTCCCTTTTTACGAAGGGAGTTATTAAAGTTATACTCCGAATCTTCTAGTCATATGAGTGTTTTTTTTTCTTCTTATATTAAAGAATAATTCAACATATCTCTTTTTTAATTTTTTGGTTAAAGAGGTTCAAATAGATTAACTAGCCCTCTCCCAAGAGGTTAGGAAACAAAATACAGTAATTGTTATACGACATAAGGAGCCCATTAGAGTTACAATCAAACATAAATGATTCAAACAACAAGTTCCTAAAGTTGCTCATACTAGCACTATTACAGTCATTGAAGTCATTGAAGGGGTTGGCTGCCAGATTCCAAAGCACGTCATTTCCTCTAGACACCTGACTAGCTTGGAGTGCCATGAGATGGGCCTGCTGCACTGCTTATCTTAGGAGACATTAAAAATTCTTCACCCTGTTCTCTGATATGAATTCCCTGCAAGCATTAGACTGGTTAAAGTACTTATCTCTGATTTTTTGCTTATCATCAAGGTTAGTAACAACTGTTCTTGAGTCAGTGATCACAGTGACATCACTCCATTGCTTCTGTCTGATCCAAGCTAAGGCTACTAACAAAACCAACACCTCAGCAGAATTAGCATCCTCCATTACTGATTTCATGATGAAGCCTCCTTTCCACTCCTGAGAAGAAGTGTAGCAGATAGCAGCCACTCCCACAGCTAGGGAGTTAGGATTAAAGGATGCATCTACTCTGATTATAAGCTGAGAGTTTTGGAAGGGTTGGACAAGTTTGTGTAAGGGGTCCTTAGGCAAGGGGAAGGATTGAGCATAGTAGAACTCAATAGAGAACCAGTTAACAGCTTTAATAACATCAGGGAGGGGGGTATTCTTTTGATTAAAAACCCAAGCATTTCTGCTTTTCCAAATAGACTAACATGAGAAAGCAATCAAACACAACATACCAAGGGAGATGGTCAAGAGTTAATAGGCCGGGAAAAATTGAAGAGGGGGTGGCCTAGAGTATCCCATACTTCAGTAGCTCTAGGGCAGAAGATCAAGACATGGAGTATGGACTCCTCAACTGTTTGACAGAAAGGGCAGGAGGGAGGGGAGGGCATCCCTCTTCTATGAATAGATTCCCTATTAGGTAAGCATTATGGCATGCTTGCCAAAGGAAGGTTTTGACCTTTAAGTTGGAGGTATTTCGGCAGCCAGATAACATCCCAGATACTATTAGAAGTGGCCATGGGGTTTTGAGATAGCCAAACCTTCCTATACATAGCTAAAGCTTAAAAGGAGTCCCCACTTACATTAGCACATATAAGTTCATCCTGAGAGGTGGGAAAGACTTTGATAGCATGAAGAATCTTGCTGATAGAGATGGGGAGATGGATAGAGATAGCAGAAAAGGTCCCACTTGCCCTGCTTTAGAACTTGTCCTACACAAAGACTCTCCTCAGAGGGAGAGAGAGGGCCTTGAATTAGAAGCCTAAGAGGCCTATAAGGGAACACCAAGAATCAAACCAGAAGAAGAGAGTGGGATTATACCCCACAACCCAGGCAGCAGACTCATGAAATAAGTCCCATGCCTTCCCCATGTCTTGCCATATATGGGAGCCCTGTTTGAAATTATTTAGAAAGTGTCTATTAGCCACATACTTATGGTAAATGATCTTGGAAGCAAGATTGTCACAAGAGTGCATCTTCCAGCATAGTTTAGCCATGGAAATGGAATTCACTATGGAGTTGTTCCTAATTCCCAAGCCTCCAAGATCCCTAGGGGCACAGATTTTCTTCCATGCAAGTATGCAACCATTGGAAGTTTCTTGGTTTCAGAATTGGACCCCCAAAAGAAGTTCCTTACACATGAGTCAAGGGATTGGAGTAATTGGTTGGATTACTCTTTCTTAATTATTTTCTCAATAGTACTCCCTTCGTCCTTAAATGTTTGCCCCATACTCATTTTGTGCTTTTTTAAGTTTTAGTTGGGTAAAGTTGATAAGAGAAAAAAATGGTGAGACCTAAATTAATTTTGTGAGAGTAGAGTTGTGGGCTCTATGGACATAGGTATGGAGTGTAATTTTTAAGGTACACCCTTTTTTGGTAAATGGGGCAAATAAATGGTAACAAGGGAGTAATTTTTAGTCCGGAGTGACTGTTATGAAGTTTGGGATTTGCTAGAAAGCGAATTGAAATTAATTATTTTACTTAGGAAAGGATAAAGAATGGCAAACAAGTGAAGGTTAGTGACCATACACAAGTTTTTTTTTTTTTTTTTTTTTAATTTTTTATTGATAGATCAAATATTTGTGTTACAGATTTGGAGGTATTAATAATGGTCAGAACTCAGAAGATATCGACCATGAGCAAATGGTATAGACCTGGATGAATTTGATATCAGGTCTTAGGTAACACCCCAATACTAAACTGCTAAGTGCTAAGTTAGTTCACATATTGACTGGGGTCATTAAGATTCGTGGGTAATTGAGTCCTAGATCACTATAGTTTATATTAAATAATGAAATGAATTTATTACAATCATAGTACACCATAATGGAATGAAATTAGACATACCTCCACACATCATATCACATATAGTACTCGTAGTAGTTTATTTATATATTGATAAATGATGTAACCAACAGTAAAATGAATTACATCAAACTGAACTCAGAAGGAAAGGAAAGAACGTATAACATTTTGGTTATTAAAATCGCTTAATAAGAAGATGAGAAGCTGCTTGATCATTAGAAAACTCAACGATTGTGCTAATATTTCCGCTTGCAAACTCCTCCGGCATCTGGGAAACTGCCTTCAAGAACGCAGGTTAATCCTTTGCAGCAAGCGAATCCGGCGAATCCTCCACAAAATTCACCAGCAACCTTACATGAACCAACGTTACTCTCTTCAACTTGGGCCAATGTTGGAGCTGTAACATGATGAACATCACACAATGCATCAAAAAAAGAAAATTACGTATACAAGAGCATTTATTTCTAATGTATTTGAGTCAATAATCATAATTACATCAACTAATAATAAGTCAACAATATACACACGTACGTTGCTTAATTGGTGCTAAGATTATAGACACTTGTAGAGATGATAACCCAAAGGAACGAAGGTGAAAAAGGAGGTTATTGTTAAGATTTGAACTTTAATAAAGTTACACATGCTTATTTTATTAAAGTTAACGAACGCGGGACATTGAATAAGATAATTAAAATTAAATTATTAAATTAAAATAAACAATAATTATATCAATCGATGCGATATTTTAACATGTATTTCCAAATTAATACCATTTTAAAAAATATTTTAAATGCCAATCTAAACACTTTAGGAACATTCGTTAGCAAAATCCATTTTATTTATCAAATCATGAAATGGGCCAAGACTTGGATTAGGCCCTATTCTTGGATCCACACGAGCTTTGAATTTTAAGTAAATGTCCGAATTAAGAATTTTGCCACTATATAATCACATCAACCTAACCCAATCGCATCATTTATTCTTTTATGTATACCTTCTCAATGAAATATGCGATGAATTACGGTTAAATAAAATAAAAGAAATAGTGTAAAAAAACATGTACAATATCTAGTTATTGACTTATTATTACTCGTAGTTGTAACTAGAAAGTACAAACTTACCTGATAGAAAAACTGCCAACATAATGGTTGTGATGAAGAAAGTGGTGGACATCTTCGCCATTTTTATGAACTTTGATACAGTACAAATTAAGCTTATATATCTAGTTGACAGAATATGAACAATGAAAATTATAATCTCATTTCATAGTCAACACTTCAATTTATAGATAAAAGCTAGGAAGTGCAAGATGATCAACTTATTATAGTATATTAGTTTCCGTGATCACATTATATTATAAATTATAAATATATGAGAAAAGGTAACGAACGTCCCGGAAGCGTTGGATAAGTCTAAAAGTAGTAAGATTAAATTAAAATGAACATTAATTACACCGATCGACGCGTGATTTTATCAAGCATTTCCAAATTAATACCACTTTAGATAATATTTTAAATGTTTATCTAACGTCCTGGGGATGTTCGTACTAAATATACAATGAATAGTGTCAATTTATTTTATTTCTTAAGCTAAAGATCAGATGAGCCACTTTTATTGACCATTTTTTTTCCTTCTTTTTGTTCAACATTTATGCATTTCTTTCGCTTTACGTCTATGTTAAATTATTTGTTAATTGTAGTTCCAAAGCCCATCACTAATCTATTATCTTTTCATAATTTTCAATTGGTATAGTAGATTAACCGGATTTTCCTACTACTTTTGCATTTTTACTCGTATATATAGTACATTCCTCAACACATATGTAATCTATAATAATATATTAAAAAAGCTTTCTTAACTATATATGTTAAAAATATGGTTTGTATAACATTTTAATCCACAACTTCATGTTAAAGTTAATCGCAAAGCTATTGCTGTATAATATATTATTCTTAATTTCAAAAATCAAATCTAAAAATAAGGATATGAATCATGCATGACTTTGATATAACGAACCATTAGCTAAAAGAAAGTTATGAATGATACTAACTAATAAATACCTTAATGAATCCGAATGATTTAACACATAAATACACCCTAAATCAATTTAAAATCAAGAGTGACCCATTTATATAACCATTAGCTAAAAGAAAGTTGTGTATTAGAGCATCTTTGGTTGGAGTGTTTTTTTATTGAAAACGGATTCAAATAAACCATTACCGTCACCAAGTGTTTGGTTGAAAGGTTTGGGTAACAATTACCATTACTCTTATTTGTTTAACAATAAGAGTAATGGTAATTCCTTTGTTACCTCTCTAAAACCTAATGTAACAATTACCCTTACTCTCCTCAAACAAAAATAAAGGAAGATAGGTTTAAGTGATTCCTTTTCATGATTAAACCAAACAAATGGAAAGGTAAGAGTTAAATGATTCATTTCCTCTCACTTATTTGTCTCCTTTCCACTCCATTTCCATTAGCCATACCAAAGGCTCCCTTAATGTATAATAATTCTTCAATTTCTTTATTTTTAGTTGTATCACTATTTGAAAAAGTAAGTTTTAAATTAGTTGCATCACTTATCTTTTAATTAATAATCTCTCCTATCACATGGTTTTTTTTTTTTTTTTTTTTTAATGTCTCTCTCAACTCCAAAAATTACCTAAGCGGAGTTCACAATTTGCAAAAGTGATAATGCAACTAAAAAAAATGAAGGAAGTATATATTTGAAGAGTTTAACGTATTGTTTAGAGGTTCACACTTCACCATTTGAACTTTTGAAAGTTGCATGTTAATAAATACGAAGTATACAATAAAAACAAATGAAATTGCCCAATTTATCACGTTGATGAACAAAATACTTCGTAGATTTATCAAGCGGTACATATATAGATAAATTAATAAAAATGTATAAATAGCATGACATTTTCGTAATAATTATCAACAAGTAAGAGATCCTAATTTAATGAAAAGTTATTAATTTATTTATAATTTTGACACTTGATGATAAACTCAGTATTTTTCTCAAAACAAACAAGCTGAAGTATAAATTACTAAAAGCGCTTTGAATCCTTAGTTTCGTGACAAATTAAACGTAATCCATGACGTATGTAGCAGGATTTGGATTCGAAGTAGATTTCGCATCGCCGCAGTCTTACACTCTTACTCTTTGTTCTTTAGCTAAAACAATACTCCTTCCAAATTCCTATTTTAAATTAAGTTCTGGTTTGGTGTAAAATATTTTCAATCAAAATAAAACTAATTTTTCACATAAAATGTTTTACATTAAATTAAACGGGATCTAAATAAATTAAATATTTTATCCCCACTTGAAATCTTTGCATATATATTACTCGGTAGTATAAATATATATTTTTTTTTAAACGGGATCTAAATAAGTTCATAATTTTCCTTTATCTATTTGATGAATGTGCCAAAATTTATTACGGAGTATTGTTTTTATACTATAGATTATTTGTTATACAATTTCCACCATTTTAATTTTTCCATGCATGATTTTAATGTTTAATCAATATTCTCTCTTAGTTTCCCAATTGCCACATTAATGACTTTGTTCCTTTTTTTCCTCTTTTATTTTTGATTTGTTGTGAAAAATTGAACTATTCAATGTAAAATTAGAATCTTTAATATTTTAATGGTTTCTCTCACATTAAAATTCACTTTCTCAATTTACTTCCTGATTCCCTTAGCATTAATTAATTGAGTTGTTGTTCATCGTAACAAAGTTACTTAATCTGCATTGAATATCGACTTCTTGCTATTGTCAAAATATATATATATATATATAAACTTCTAGCCATCTTTTTATTTTCCTCTTCCTCTCCCTAAGACCCCAATCACCATATAACCATTTACAGTTTTTGTGCTGTGACAAACTTTGTACTCGTACGACAAAGGAAGTAATTTGACTATCTAATTATGCATGTTTTGGTTTGTGACAGAGGGGGACCTTCCACCGGGGCCATTCGAGCCCGGCCCCTCGTAAATTATTGTAATTAATTAGTTAATGAATTTAAATAACCTATATTTACTTATAAAATATTGGGACATAATGTTAGTTTTAAGCGAGAGGTAAAAGATTTAAATCTCGGCCCCTCTAATATTTTCAATCAAGATCCGCCACTGATTTGTGATGAAAAAAAAAAATGAGAAAAGTGAAATTTTAAGTGAATTTGAACCTCCCACAAAAATGGAAAATAAATTGTCACTCTCTTTAATCCATCATATTAAAGTGAGGATTTTATATTAAATTCTTATATGAACAAGGAAATAAAGGCCGTGTTTGATAAAAGCTGAAAGCTGAAATTGAATGAGTTAGTTGATTTTGACTAGTTGATTGTATTAACTGATTTGACTAACTTCTTTTATTAGCTGATTATATAAAAGTGTTTGGTAAATAATTGGTTGCTTAAAGCTGATTGATTATGTGAAATGACTAATAAGCTAATTGTGAGGGTAGGTAGTTCATATAGGATTTTAAATTAAATGCGGGTGATTTGGGTAAAAATACCCATATCACGTGGCCCAATCAGAATGGGACACGTGTCAACTCAGGGAATGTTCAATAAAGGCCACTCACCAGTTGACACGTGGCACTCCTAATCAGCAAGGGAAAAAGAAGGCCTTCAGGGCCCAATTCTCGAGAAAGCCGCAAAACGGCGCAACCCAACAAACCTAGGTCATTCTGACCTAGGCAAGGGCACATTTACCAATGACTCTATAAATAGAGGAGACTTATCCCATTTGGGGACACATTCAATTATTACAACACAATCAATTCTCTCACATCAGAAAAAAAACACCTGGCCTCGGAATCCGAGAAGATCTCACTTTACTTTCCGCATCTTTTCACTTTCTCCGTACACGTTCTAACTTGATCGTCGGAGGCGGAACTCCACCCAACCGGAGTCTCCGTTGTTTTGCAGGTACAGGTGCTCGGAATCCAGTCTTGGTGACATAACTCTCCCGAGGGACAAAAACCCCCGAAACATTTGGCGCCGTCTGTGGGGAGAGTACCTCTAAGATGGTTTCTCAAGAGACTGTACCGCTTCCTGAGAATAAGTAGCCTACGGCTGAGGTCTATTCAGACCATGACACAAAACCAGAGGTCGAAACATATACGGTCGCAGATGGATCCCTCAATACAAGGCGCATCCGTTGCAAAGACAACAAGGAACGAGGCGATGGTGAGGCAGGACCGAGTAAGCCATCCGGCCAACCCCAGGCGGCAGGACAGTCTACTCACATCACCCGAGATGAGTTCATGAAATTCATGACAAGTTTCAAGGGAGAGATGAAGGACCTGATCTCCAAGAGGATGGTTGGTCCCAACAAGGGTCAGTCGGCCAAGAAGCCTTCTCATTCTGAGAAGAACAAGTGCGTTAGGGACCGAGAGCCAACTCCGCATCCTAAAACAAAGGAGGTAACTCGGCCCTTGATTGATCTGGCCAAGTTCCGCTTCCCCGAGAAAGAAAAGAGGTAGGTCATTCGGCATGTTCAGCCGGATGGCACCAAGAGGACATTTTCTGATGCTCGCCTTTACATCGAGCAAAAGAAAAATCAACAACTGTCTGAGTCGGCTTCAACATCGACTTTCCCAGACAGCTTCAAGAATACCTTGATGAGGTATTCTAAATCTGGTCAAGAGAGCCTGTCAGCCGGTCCGTCCGTTCATACAGGTCCACAGATGATTGGTGATTAGGGGATTTTTCCCCACCACGTGGACTAACCAAGCTCTGCCACGTGTCATCCACGTGGACCAACCAGAGTCCGCCATGTGTCACCTCGCGAGAGGTCCAAGGTGGACCAATCAGATCACGACACGTGGCAGACAGGTAGCCAACCAGGAAACTGGCCTCTAACGGCCCAAATTCCTAAGCAAAGCCCATTCAGTCCTAGGTTTACTAAAACCTAGTACTGGGCACGTTTTTCAACACCCTATAAAAGGGAGATGTTTTCCCTCGGGAACACAATTAATTCACATTCACATTAACTCACAATCAGAGAAAGTCAGGCACTTGACACCTCGAACTAAGAAATTACACATTGCAGATACTCTCTTGGAATCCAAGATAGACCCTTTACTTTCCGCACTTTACTCCTCAAACACATTCTAACTTGATCGTCGGAGGCAGAACTCCCACCCACTGGAGTCTCCGTTGTTTTGCCGGTACAGAGGTCGGTCTTGGAATTGTAACTCTCCTGCAGGACATCAAAAAACCCCGAAACAATTGACTTGGCCCCGTATGTGCCC